GTTTATAGTTACAAACACATGTATCAAGATAAAAGAAAGATCTCAGATAAACAACCTAACATTATATCTCAAGAAACTTAGAAAAGAACAAACTAAGCCCAAAGTTAGCAGAAAGAATGAAATAATAAAGATTAGAGCAGAAATAAATGAAATAGAAACAAAAGCAATGAAAAGACGAAAGTATAAAAGAAAAAATTAAAATTCAGAGTTCATTCTCTAAAAAGATAAACAAGATTGATAAATCTTTAGCTGGACTAACCAAAAAAAAAAAAAAGTGAGCCCAAATAGATAAAATTATAAATGAAAGAGAAGACATTACAACTGATACCACAGAAATACAAAGGATCAAAGTGACTACCATGAAGAATCATATGCCAATAAATTAGAAGAAATTAGACAACCTAGAAGAAATTAATAAATACCTAGAAACATATAATCTATGAAGACTAATTCATGAAGAACTAGAAAATATGAACAGACCAATAACAAATAAGGGGATTGAATCAGTTCTCAAAAACTTCTCAACAAAGAAAAGCCCAGAACCAGGTTTAATAAAAATTAATGTCAATCCTTCTCAAACTCTTCTAAAAAGTTGAAGAGGAAGGAATGCTCTCAAACTCATTTTACAAGGTCAATATTACCTGGACACCAAAGTCAGATAAGAATACTGCAAGAAAATTACAGGCTAATATACCTGATACATATAGATACAAAAATTCTCAACAAAACTTTTCTCAGCAAAACAAATTCAACAGTACATTAAAAAAATCATATACCATAAGCAAGTGGGATTTGTCCCTGGGATGTAGGGATGGTTCACTATACGTAGATCAATAAATGTGACACATCAAATTAATAAAATCATCTCAATAGATGTAGAAAAAGCATTTGACAAAATCTAACAACCTTTCATGATAGAAACTCTCAAAAAATTTGGTATAGAAGGACTGTACTTCAACATAATAAAGCCTATATATGACAAATCCATAGCTAACATCATACTCAATGGTTAATGATTGAAAGTGTTTACTCTAAGATCAGGAACAAGACAAGGGTACCCACTCTCAATGCTCCGGTTCAGCATAGTACTGAAAGTCCTAGCCAGAAAAATCAGACAAGAAAAAGAAATAAAAGATATCCAAATTGGTAAGGAAGAAGTAAAATTATTTCTGTTTGCAGATGACATAATCTTATATATAGAAAACCCTTAAAGACTGCCAAAAAGCTGTTAGAACTAATAAACAAATTCAGTAAAGTTGCAGGATACAAAATAAACATACAAAAATCAGTTGCACTTCTATATACAAACAATGAACTCTAAAAACAACACGATCCCATTTAGAATAGCATCAAAAACAATAAAACAGTTAGGAATAAATTTAACCGAGGAGGTAAAAGATCTGTACAATGAAAAGTGTAAGACATTGATGAAAGAAACTGAAGATATAAATAAATGGAAAGATAGCCTGTGTTCACAGATCAGAAGAATTAATATTATTTACATGTCTGTATTACCCAAAACTACCCATAGATTTAATGTATTCCTTATCTAAATTCCAATGTATTTTTACAGAAATAAAACAATAAACAATCCTAAAATTTGTATGGAACCACGAAAGACTTTGAATAGTTAAAGCAATCTTAAACAAGAATAACAAAGCTGGAGGCATCACACTTCCTGATTTCAAACTATACTGCAAAGCTATAGTAATCCAAACAGTATAGTACTGGCATAAAAACAGACACATAGACCAATGGAACAGAATCAAGCACCCAGAAATAAACTCTCACATATATGGTCAACTCATCCTTGACAAGGAAGCCAAGAATAAAATGGGAAAAAAATAGTCTCTTCAGCAAATGGTGTTGGGGAAACGATATATACTTGCAAAAGAATTTGTATCAGGGAAATATAAATCAAAACCATAATGAGATATTGCTTCATACTTTTTAGAATAGCTATTATCAAAAAGACAAGAGAACAAGTGCTAGCAAGGATGTGAAGAAAAGGGACTCTTGTGCACAGATGGTGAGGATGTAAATTGGTACAGACCTCATGGAAAACAGTATGAAAGTTTCTCAAAAAATTAAAAGTAGAACCATCTATCATCCAGCAATCCTTCTGGGTAAATATATGAAAGAAATGAAATCTCTGTCTCAAAGAGATACCTGCTCTTCCATGTTCATTGCAGAATTATTTACAATAGCCAAGGCATAGAGACAACCTAAGTGTCCACTGATGGATGAGTAGGTAAAAAAAAAAAAAAGTGATATATGTATACAATGGAATATTTAGTCATAAAGGAAATCCTGTCATTTGTGCCAACATAGATAAAACTTAAGGGAATTTTTAAAAAGAT